TGCTGAAAACTTCATTAAGAACTTCCAACTACGTCGAACAATTCTTTTTCATAAGTGTTGTCAGTGAGAGTTAACAGTGTCTTGCTACCAGTCTAGACAACTGTGTCAAACATGTTTGCTCTGCCTTCTTAGACTGCATAACCTGCATTGGATTGTTTTTTAAACAAGCTTATTTCAGCACACATTGAATGTCGAGCCATGTAGTCATAGTTTTGTTATTTTCTGGAAGGAAACAGTATTCTATTTTCTTTTGTGGGAGGTACTTCGCTTCAGGGCTTCCGGGAGCTTTTATACCTTCAAGGTGCTGTGCTTCATCTGCTTCTGTGTCCCATATTTTTATATAATTTGACATATTCTTCTAATTTTCAAGAATTGATTTGCAAGGATTTGATTTGCTTCCACGAGTTTAACCATGGATTGATATCAGTTAGAGAAGCATTGCAAATCTTGGGGTACTGGACGACTATTTCGTCAGCCTAGTTTGGGGCTCATCGTCAGTACGCACCCACTGAGTTTCAAACGCAGAGTCTTCCGGTTACAAGGGAAGCTCGAATACCATTCAGCCTCCACTGGGACCCGATTCAATGGCTAGCCCATTTTTTCTAACTTCTACCAATTCGTGATGCATTTAGCATGACTGGTACGAACCAATGTCATCGGCGGGAAATCCATCCTCACTTCTGACTGGATGGATCTCATTGGTCACGATTTCTCAATAGAACTCCAGGAAACTCAATCCGGTAGCAAGTCACTGGCAAGCATCAGGTTAATTTTCAAAAGTTGGTTTGTAAGGATCAGATTTGTTTTTCAAATTTAACCATCGATTGATGTCTAAACCTAGTTTCGCCAAGTATGCTAACAGCAGAAGACGAGAGACATGGTAAAGGAAGAATGTCTGTGTGCAGTTTGGTACGTCTTTATAGCCAAATGATGTACACTTAATCTTCAAATCACCATTTGTACTACTTCTGGCCTTGATATTATTTCTTTGTGTTCCTTTCACGTCTCCCATGTATCTCCACAACGCTGAATCATTTACTTTCTCTGACATCAAATTTATCTCCCTGCTAATTGATGTTTCCATGTCAATAATAGTCTGTTTGTACACTACTGATAAATCTTATCAGTATCACATTCCACAGGTGCATTAACGACCTATCTTTCTTATTGTCTTACACAGCATTCTATACGATACTCTATAAGTTTAACGAAGCTTTCGAAAACATCAGAATCTATAACTTGATGACAAGCAGTATTTATTATTATTATTTCCTTTAATTCCTACAGGAAAATAGGGCTTCAGCCGTGCGTCTCCATTACATTTGGTTCTCTGCTAGAATCTTCACCTGGCTCCAAGTCTGCCCACACACCTTCATCTCCTCTTCACATGACCTCCTCCAAGTCACTCTTGCACTGACGACCAACTCTCCGCTTCCCTTGCGGGTTCCACTCCAGCGATGGCTTGTCTAGTGATGTCACTTGATGGTTTCCTCAGTGTATGGGCAACCAACACACCAACTGCATTTCTTCCTGCCTATTTGTTTCACAATCGGTTCCTGCTGGGTTGGTTCGCTGATTGCCAGAGATCTCTGTTGCTGATCTTTTCTCGCCAGCCATCGGATCTTGAGTATTGAGCGAAGACAACTGTTAATGAAAGTCTGTAGTTTGTTTGAGATGCTCTTCATGACGCGCTGGCCAAGTCTCTGATCCGTATAGTAGCACTGACTGACTTCACATTGGAGTTGAAAATCCGGATCTTATTTTCATTTTTATGCTGAGTGCTGTTGACCTCCACACAGACTTGACGTGAGTAGTGAAAGCTTGTCTTGCTTTTCCGATTCTTGCTTTGATATCCTCGTCAGTCCCATCAGCCTGTAGTCGAAACGATGCTTCCCAGGTAGGTGGGTGAAGGAGGTTGTTTCTATCAGGTTCCTTCTATTTATGCTGATTGTTGTCTGTTGTTGTTGTTGCTGGTGGTGGTGTTGCCCAGGAATCTTCATTACCACTGTTTTGTCTATGTATTTGCTTAGTACTAAAATAGCGGATTAAGGAACAAGTGTCAAATCAGTGACTATTTCTATATCTTTCAGAAGCTTAGCGCTCGCGACACCGGAAACATTTCCAGTTAACTATTGAGGACTATCATCAACATCTGCCTTCCTTCAATACTGACTATTAGACAGCTGGCTAGAAAGAATAAGCGACAAGGAGTTTTGGCAGTGGCGAACCAACTTCGCGTTAAGTATTCCGCGAATATTCAGACGGAAATGTGGATGGATTAGGCATACTCTGCGAAAATCCTCAGGTAATATCACAAACCACGTCCACAAATGTAGCTCTAATAGGAAGTTACCAGTCTGGAGTTGATCCAAGTGTAACGTGGAGGAGATCGTGTGACGAGGAGAAGAGAGCTTATGGAATAACGATGAGCCAGCTAAAAGTGACTGCAGAAAGCTGTGTGAAAGAAAGAAAGAATCATAGCCTAATTAACTCTATCTCTTTCTTTCTGGACTAAAACAAAATAACGCAAGGAATTTGATTTAAAAAATGTTTTTGGTGACCTTAAATTTAAAATATGAAAAGGACTACATTAAATAATGATGTATGTTAATAAACAAGATGGTTTAAGAAGAGAAGAAGAAGAAAGCACATCGGCGAAAAAATGAAGAATACACATACCACAGTCAAATGACCTAGAACCAACCAATCAGATCTTTATGTCCATCGGCTTATAGTATTGAGAATGAAGGAAAGTCTGATGTATACACACAAAATGGTTGTTTGGTGTTAACCAAAAGTTTAAAGTGTGTAAAATTTTGTGATTATCGATGTCTTCGTTAAGCTTAGTGATGTAGCTACAAGGTTTAATGTTTGACTATGCTTAAATGTATAATTCAATGCAGAAATTTAGCAGTTCTAGTTGCCGTACTGCATGAAACCTGTAAAAGGTGGGTAAACGGATTCAGAATTACTGTAATATGCACAAAAGTGAGGGAGAAAGAATAGTATAATTAATTAATTGGTCGATGTTGATTATCAGTGCAATGCAAGATGCGCAAATTCCTCCTATTTGGGAGTCGTCAGTAAATGTATTTGTAGGATTTCTCTCGCAATTGTCCACACTTTCTAGCTAATTTTGTTCAACTACTCATAAGTAGGCTAGTTGAAGTTGAACTATTTTAGAAACAATTGGTGGATGGTGACTAGCAGTGGAGTAATCCAGGATAACGCGCATTTCGTCTTATTTGGGACTCGTCACTGGATGCGCCTGCATTTCCCAGTGAGTGATGATATTCCCACCGAGGCTGGAACCCAGCGTCCATAGTTTCAAACGCCAAGACTTTATCCACTAGACCAACTCTGCCATTAATTAAATTCTAATTACATGCCCAGACATCGTCGAAGTATCTGCACAAGAAGCCAGCATGTCAACCTGAAACCGAGCACTTCGGTCCAATCAGTCAGTCGACGGGAAAATCTTAAATTCTATAAAAATAGAAATAATAGCAGCATGGAAAAAACATTAGGGATTAACGGATCCGGAAGATTTGCATTGAAGAGTCAATCGATGAAGAATTACAAAATCTCTGAGGGACCTTGATAGAAAATGGATTCCCACCCAGATTCATAGACAAGAATCTAAAACCAAGGAAAACACCTGAAAAGGTCCAAGTCGCCCCCAAAAAGATGCTTATGTTGGAACTCGAATTTAAAAGTGATACCGAAGCAGAACTTCTTCGTAGACGGCTTTCGAAGTCACTCAATAAAATATACTTCGCCGCCAGCCTACGAATAACATACTCCCGCAAGAAAATATTCAGTCAACACGTGAGAGACAAGTTGTCGCAGTGGGTCACTTCAACATGCATAAACAAGTTCACTTGCTCGTGTGGAGCTGAGTACATTGGCCGAACTGCGAGTTCGCTTGTAAAACGTGCGCGGGAACACTATCCAGCATGGTTAGCAAAGAGAGAACGCAAAGGGGCCTATAGTTCGATAACAGAGCATCTGGTGAATTCTGCACATCCAGCCCCAAATGAAAAGTTTTCCAAAGCCATATATAAGATCCGACCCAACCTACCAAAGGGAGTGAAATCAAGACATCTGGGAATAGCTGAGGCACTGGCGACCCAAAGCCCAAGCCTATTCTATGTGTTCCAACCGTTGTCCCTGTAGTGGCCATTATCAAAAGTCAGTTTCACCAATAATGATTATCCTATAACCACCTTTCTTGTCCAACCTTCCCGTTTATTTGTTATATTAACCTTTTTAAATCCCTATCTGCATTATTAGATTGGTTTACTGTTTTTATTTTTATACGTCCGAACCTCCATGTTCGGAGACCAATGGTGCAGCATGACTTTCTACTTCACTTAATCAACACAATCCCATCAGTTATTTTTTAGCTGACGGTTGCAAACAATGTGGAGTCCATGAGGTGTATTTTGTCCTACCTGGGACTCATCGGCTGGATGTACCTGTAATCGCCAGTGAGTGAGTAGTTGTATCTCCAAGGAGACTCCAGCCCAGAACCTGACATTTTGAACGCAAAAGTATTGTTAACTAGAACAACTGAGTCAAAATGCGCACCCTGGATTCCGCTACTTTTTACCATCCAGCAAACAGCATCAATGGCAATCCTCGGACACCATTGCAGCGCCCCTACTATGAGCTGTTTTGTCAACAGAAGACGGATATTTCAGTCGAATATATCAAATAATAAAACAAAATTAACTTAAACTTCAGAAAATGGTTTGATATTTTGTTTAAATATTTCAGTATTTTACGTTTTCCGTTTTCAAACAGGGTAAAAGCCCCGTGGTGATTACTAATTTTTGATGATCTTGAGTAACTGACCGAGCATATTTCGTTTTATTTAGCCTTGTTCATTTTTCATTTCAGTTTATGACTATCTAACTGTTGTTTTTCTGTTAATTCAGTAGTTACTTTCAATCTTTTCTTGAAAATTTGTTCTTTCCGATTGTTTATTGTCTTATCAGGTCTCTGGATCTCGAAGCATCAAAACCACGTTTGAGAGAATATGATGCCGATGGTGATGGCTTGCTTACCTGGTCTGAGTATACAAGCAAAATCTACGGTTATTCAGCTAAAGAGTTAGAAGAATTTCGGAAGGACAGTAAAAATGAAACAAAATTGTTTGTTCAGGTATGAAGTTTGACAATTTGATCTTATCATGGCATTTTTAACCGTAAAAGGTAGATAGATAGATAGATACGTCCTCAGTGCAACATAGAGCTTCAAATTGAAAGCTTGGAATTTCGGTAGCAGTATTGATTATTTTTTACATGACGGGGTTGCTAGGCTCATGCCAACCTTCCCTGTTTGATAGTCTTATTACTGGATTAACGAGGTGAAGGGGTGCGTCGGCCGAGGATCGAACCCCTGAACACCTGAGTGGTCGGCGAGCATTCTACCGCTGTGCCACCGACCAGCATCCAATGTTTTACTCATTTTTTTTCTACGTTACCCAAATCAGTTTCAGGAACACCTTACTCCCCCCCCCACTTTTAGAAAGTAATGCTGACCAGATGTTGTAATATCTTTAAACCTAATTTTCAGGCAGCACATACTATTGCTGGTGATAAATAAAGGATTGTATCGGATTCTGAACAAAGAGTATTTGATCTACAAACGTGTAACTGCCTCAGTATGTATAGCTAGATATATTCCTGAGTTTAGCAGAGAGATAAAAGTGTATGAAGTGTATTTTTAACGAATTAACTTACACTTTTGATTGGACACTAGTCAGTAACTAGTTTAATATGTCTAGTCCTCTTATATTTGGCGCAGACTGAATTCTATCAGTCAATTTTGCAATGTAGCCACCATGCCGTTAGGTGACTTGCCGTCACGCTGCACTCTGAAATGTTGATATTGGACGGTTAAAGGTGATTGACAGCAAGCCTCGCCTAAGCTATGTTTCGCGCTAGTTAGCACTCATCAGAAGATTAGTGTCCAATCCAAGTAGGAGGTCATTCCCAAGCCTGAATAGCTCATTAGTAACGTCTCTAACTGCATTCGGCACTCAATGACGGGGGTTCTAATCTGCGAAGGGACATGAGTTCCTTCAAGGAGGTTACAGATACGCTTTTCTGACTGGCAAGTGCCAACTAGCACGGAACATAGGTTGTGTCCAAGGCTTCCTGTGGCCGATTGCCTCAAACCATCTAAGCTTACTTATCTTAAACTCACAATTACATGTAACCTCTAGTTGAATTTTTTTATTGTTGGTGACATGTTTCGCATATAACTTGAAGGAGTTCACAGTTATACACAGTTGCATATTGTTAGTGTATCTATCAATTTATCTAGAGATGACGACATTGGAATGAAAAAACATAAATACTTTAAAGTATGAGATGATCAAAATTTCTCACTACTAGCGATCTGAGAAGCTCTGTGGTAGGAGCGCTATCTGACTACATACACGGCTAACAAATTCTGGCCTGAATATTTTGAGGCCTAAGAAGTTTAATTATCGATATTGTAAACTGATGTCTTTAGGTGTTTGCATGTATCCACATGAAGAAGCATTGATCATGTGAACTGAATTGATGGATGGTGACTAGGAGTGGAATAATCCAGGATAAAGCGTATTTCGTCCTATTTGAGACTGCGTCGTCAGCCAACCTGATGTACCTGCATTCCCCAGTGAGTGATGATGTTCCTGCCGAGGCTGGAATCCAGTATCCATAGTTGCAAACGCCAAAGCGTAATCCAATAGACCATTTGGGTGGCCCAAGAGAGCCATCCCACTTCTTGTGCAACGGGTCATATTAATTATTAAGTTCAATTTAGATTTTCCCGTCAATTGATTGGATCGAATTGCTCGGTCTCAGGTCGACATGTTTGTTAGCTTGTTGTGCAGATGCTTCAACGATATCTGGGCATGTAATTAGAACTGAAGTGGTGGACGGTGACTAGCAGTGGAATCCAAGATGGGCACTGGGTTAGAGCCTCGGTGGGAACATCATCGCTCACTGCGGAATGTAAGCACATCCAGTGACGAGTCCCAAATAGGACGAAATGTGCGTTATCCTGGATTATTCCACTGCCAGTCACTACCCACCAATTAACTTCTAATTACATGCTCAGACATCGTCGAAGTATCTGCACAAGAAGCCAACAGACATGTCAACCTGAGTAGACCGAGCATTTCGCTCGAATCAATCGACGGGAAAATCTAAAATTCAATTAAATAACTTATCATGTGAAGCTGAAGGGAACGTTTACTTTAACCATTTGAGTATTTTTCACAGTTATTTCAATCATAGACGACCTGCAAACACCTGATTTCACATTTAAGTAAGTCCCAAGGATGTCGTCTAAAAGGACATTCAAAGCTCACCAATTCACCTTTCCAACTCACTATAGAACACAACCACATTAAAAACATCCACCTCAGGCACAATATCTCAATATCCCCAATATCTCAGAACCCAAATATGGACCCATTGAACTTCAAGTCGAGTATAGGAGAAGTTACTCGCCACGCTGTATAGATCACAAATTCATATATGCTAGAACTTATGGGCTGCTGGATTCCGGTTTTAATGGCTGAATGGTCAACGGGCTTGACTTCATACCCTGAAGTCAAGTCGTGGGTACATACTGCCAAAAATGGTCCGAAATCAGGATGAAACTGCTGTCCAGTACTCTTCGCTTCTTTGTGATCTTCCAGCTGACATCAGTCCTCGATCAAAACTGAAACAAATTAAATCCCTACAAACGAATACTTAGGAAACAAAAATAGAACTTTAACTATTCCTCATAATATCATTGAGTAAGTACGGTTTTCAAGTGTTGGTTTGTAGGGATTTGGTTGGTTACAGGATTTCATCATGAGCTGACATTAGTTAGAGAACCATTGGGAAACCTGGGAGTACTGGACAGCTGTTTCGTCCTAGTTTGGGACTCTTCATCTGTACGCGTCCACCGGGATTAGAAGCCAGGACCTTCTGGTTACAAGGCGAGCTCGAATCCCGGTGGGTGCGTACAGATGAAGAGTCCCAAACTAGGACGAAACAGCTGTCCAGTAATCCCAGGTTTTCCAACGGTTCTGTAACAAATGTCAGCTCATGATGAAAATCCTGTAAGTACGGTTTTATTTTCCGTACATTTTCGATACTACTATGTTGATTATAAGTAATCATGATAGTAGTAGTACTAATAGTATTTCTGTTGTGTTTCTTTTAAATATTTTTTTCCACCTGAATCAATTAGTCTTTAGATGATGAAAAGTTGAAATTCGATTCTGCTGATCTAGACAGAAATGGTTATTTGAATGAAAGCGAATTTGTCGCCTTTGAACATCCGCATAATTATCGTCATATGGCTCCGTATGAATTGAAGCACACATTAAGAGATTTCGATAAAGACAAGGATGGATATATCAGTGAAGTGGAATACCTGGCCGATGGTAAGTCAACATTATGATTATTATCATTATTGTCATTTCTGTAATTATGAGTGATAACAATAATAATAGTAGTTCTATTCTGTTATCGACATAGAAATTTGCACATATGTGCGGCAGTTCAAGTCGCCACACTCCATGTAGCACACAAAGCAAGAGAAGAAAGTAGGAGGAATGCATAATAATGTTAGTAAACAGAGGTGTGAGATAAAGGAATAGTAATAACGAAGAATAAGACAGTTTCATTGGAAATCATGAGTCACAAGGAGTGGATGCATCACCGCTGTCATTGAGAACGATTTTGAGCCATTTCACCAATTGTTTCCAACCATTGGTTTTTACCGTCCCCAGGACCCCAGTCAGCCAGGAAGTCTACACCTTCCTACGTGGTTTAGACTAACTGTTGTGGATTTCATTGACTGGTGCCATGTTTTCGTTTGACCGCCGCTAGCTCTTTTCCAGCCTGACCCTATATCAGCTAAGATGGCCCGTTGGGGAAGGCGATGACTAGGCATACATACGTAACACATGTCCTAACCATCTCAGTCGATGTAATTTCACAGTCCCGTCGATTGATTTCCCCTCCTTACCTAGCACTCGACCGATGCCTAACCTCAATATTGCTCACCTTATTATACCACTTCACACGGGAGATAGAACGCAGACACCTATGATCGAAGACAGCTAGTCTTTTCATGTCTTCTGCTCTCAATGGCCAGGTCTCACAGCCATAAAGGAGGATGGAGTGAGGTGACTGCTGAGCAGTACACACGCCCTTTGCTCGTTAGTCAGAGATCACGTCTACGCCAGAGACGGCGTAAACTGGCATATCCGAAACCAGCCCTCTGTATTCGTGCTGAGATTTCATCAGAGATTAACCTGTTGGTGCTGATGGTACTTCGCAAGTAAATGAAGGGGTTAACGTGCTCTATCAATTCACTTCCTATTTCTAATCTAGGGGTCAGTGTAGTCCAATCCTGCAACATCATCTTACATTTTACAGGGGCGAATCGCATGCCAAACATACGAAGATTGTTGCTCAAGGTGTTCAGTAGACTCTGCATTTTTTCAGCGTCGTCGCCTATAAGGACTATATTGTCTGCATATTCTAAGTCAACGAGATTCTTCCCTGGTAGCAAGTCAATCCCTGAGTCGCTGAAGTGTGTTAGGGTTAAGTCCATTAGTACGTCTATGATGAAGTTGAATAGGAATGGGGATAATGGGCATCCTTGACGGACGCCACTAGTCGTCACCACTTCAGATGACAACTCGCCGTAAGCCCTCACCTGGCTGCATGAGTACAAGTAGAGTGCCCTAATTAGTGCAGTGTATTTTCTCGGCATTCCCTTTACAGCCAAGCATCGAATAGTAACAATAATAATAGTAATTCTAATAAATGAGTCATTATTATAACGGAATAATTGTCTTGAAAATTTTCAAGAGTATGTTTGTAAGGATTAAATTTGTTTTTACGAGTTTGACCACGGAGGATTGATATCAGTTAGAGAACCATTGAAAACCAGCTGAGGGGAGTACTGGAAAGGCAGCAGTTTCATCCTAGTTTGGGAATCTTCTGCAGTACGCACCCACTGCCAGGGTTTGAACCCAGGAACTTCCGGTTACAAGGCTAGTTAGCTAGCTCATATACCATTCAGAAACTGGGACGCGATTGAATGCCCAGTCCATGAATTCTTACTTCTACCAATTCGTGATTTAGCGCGACTGGCACCAACCAATGCCATCGGCGCTGGATACTCCATCCTCACTCCTGACTGGATAATAATAAAGCCTTATGAAATAATAGAGAAGATTTGTAGCTCAGGTGGATGATTTGCAACTAATGGTGTTCTCTAAGCTGGTTGGTTTAGTTGTGGAACTTTCGTCGTCCTTCTGAACAACATCCCCCTTCAGCGCAATATTTAGCATAAAGCATAAATCAACGCACACAGATCAAATACTCAACTATACTAGCAATAATCCAATTACTCACAAACGAAACTGTGTGCAGACATTGTTTACAAAGAGTTCAAACACATTGTAGCACTCCAGAGTTGAAAAGAATGGAAGAAAAGTACCTACAAACGGTGTTCAAAAAGAATGGTTACCCACAAAATTTCATCAAAAAGTGTTTAAAGTCGAATCAAAACATCAACAAAGAACCATCATCAAAGACCACAAGAAAATTCGTTCTACCATAAATGAAATATATCTCTAAAATAAGAGCTAGAATACTGAAACCGTTTGATATAGATATAGCACACAAACCAGTCAAATCGCTTAGTTCGATATTATGCAAACCAAAAGATCCAACAGAAAAAGGAGATAAAATTAATACCATTTACAAAATAAATTGTATGAACTGTAACAAGTATAACATCGGCCAAAGTTGGCGTCCCCTTCGAATCAGAATCCAAGAACACAAATCAGCCGTGAAAAGACACGATATGTATTCTTTAGTATCAATGCATAAAGACAATTATGGGCATCAATTTGATTGGGATAATGTCAAAATCTTAGCTAGAGGAAACATCAAAAGTGCAGTCAGGGAATTCCTAGAAGCCTGGTACGAAAATGCAACTAACAAGCACGTTAATATAGACGAAATATACCAACTAATAAAAAGTAAATCAGGTGACCAGAAAGTTTAAAATCCAAGTCAATAGAAAATGGTCACTTCATATGTAAAGATGGTTACCGGGAGACGCAATCACATCACTCATGAAGAAATTTAAATCATTTCACTTTATGCTTAATATTGCGCTGAAGGGGGATGTTGTGCAGAAGGACGACGAAAGCTCCAAAACTAAACCAACCAGCTCAGAGAACACTATTAATTGCAAATAAAGCTTTATTTCAGAAAATATGTGAACATTTAATACAGAAATTTTCAGCGTATTTAGTTCCAAAATATTTCCTGTTCACACACAATTTACATGTAAAGTTATTGTCTGCAGTATATCATGTGTCGTAGTGTTGGTCTATATAAACTGAGAACCAATTCTGTATGCTTTTTCCCTCATTTCTTTCGAGAATTACACAGTGTTTAGTGGAAAAGCTCATTAAATATGCGCGCGCGAATTCATGTAGCGGTCATCTGATTTAACTGCACGATTATTAAGACAATAAGAAACACAGAAGAGTTGAGGCATTTTGATAGATGAAAATTCTGGTAACCTGGTGATTTAAGCAGGCCTCCAATGGCAATGTTTCAATGTGTAAACCATAGCTTCGTCAAAAAATACTCGGATTTGATTAATCAGACAAAATACAAGATCGAACAACACAATGAATTTATTCCATATTAGTTTGTTTATAAGATGTATCACACAGTGAAACAGTATTATCCACTGGATGACAAGGTTGCGAACAAAATTTATTACTGTTCATAATCATATCTCCAATTATAATCACACGACTTCGAAACTTGAGTTTTATAGAACTTTCCAGATATCTGGGATAGGTGTTGAATCATTCCTATTGCACGTGTTTGCAGTTGATTCGATAAACAAAGCTTCTGTTATAAATCTCTCCCTTCACCCTGTGACATTAGATTTCAAAACTGTCATCCTATCCCATCCTATTGTATGTAGTGCTATGGGCAGTTGAACTATTCTCTAGATTTCTTATCTTATTCGGAATAAGGAATCTAAATAATCAGTAGTAATTCCATACAAGGAAGGAACCTGGGAAACCTAACACAGAATTCTTAACAAGGCAGCAATAAAAGTGGCTGGTACTCAAACCCACAAACTCAATTAGAAACAAGCTTTGTTGGTTAAAGGATCCTGTGAAGCCTTTAAAACAAAACAATTTAGTTTATCTGATACCCTGCTTGAATGATTGTCAGGTCAAAGTAGCAGAACAGAGGCAGTCAGACTAGCCGAGTATAAAAATCTAGCAGCAAAATCTAGATTAGTTGACCCGAATAAGATAAGAAATCTAGAGAATAGTTCAGCTGTAGCACTCACTATACGCAAATACACACAACCATACAACAGGATGGATGGGATAGGATGACAGTTTTAAAATAGTACATAATGGAGTGGAGGGAGAGATTGATAACAGAAGCTTTGTTTATCGAATCAACTGAAGAGAGTACGTGTAATAAGAATGATTCAACACATGTCCCAGATATCTGGAAAATTCTACTACCACCCCTTTCGACGACAAATAGGAGAGAAAAAAGAAAACTATAAATCTCAAGTTTCGAAGTCGTGTGATTATAGTTGATGGGATGATTATGAAGAATAAATTTTGTTCGCAACCTTGTCATCCAGTGATGAATAATACTGTTTCACTGTGCGATACATCTAATAAACAAACTAATATAGAATTACTTCCCACCAAAGTGCCCAAGTTTTACACGTGTATTAACAATGAATTTATATACATTTTAATGGAGAGAGCTCAAAAGGGTTAATGTGAGTAGTGAAGTAAAATTATGACATAGACAAACAATTAAGTAAATTTGAGGAGTTCATACTGACATCAACTCAGTAAGTGAAAAGCAAAATCAAAATTAATTGGAATGTTACATAACAGAATAAAACACAAAAGCACAAGAAGAAAGCAGTTCGAGGAGGATAAGGCTTTGCGGTATTGCCTGGATTTTGGGTTGCTTAGGCAGGAGAGGATTTATTCATGTGTTGGTGTCATGGGTTTAGAAAGCCTTAGTAGGTCGATTGATGGATTTGTCCATCGTTGTGCAATTTGTTCGAGACGAGTTAGTATTAGGGAAGGTAAGCTGATAATTTTAATATTTCATAGGAACATTTTTCGCTAGGTCACATCTCTCCTTAACGCAGATTTTGTATATTTGTAACTACTGGGTTTTAAATGAGTCTGTGAGAAGCGCAGCTGCCGAATCCGAAAGTAGCCTCGTGCCAACAGTTCAGTGGTACCAGCACTGCAGAGACATCGCATCATGGAAATCGGAGAGAATTACTTCGTTATTGGGCGGAGAATGTATCGTCATGCACGTGGACGAAACTGGGTTACTGAAG